TCTATCTATCTATCTATCTATCTATCTATCTATCTATCTATCTATCTATCTATCTATCTATCTATCGCTGGGTATATGACAGGAAAAGCTCCAAAGGAAGGTGCCCATGAGGGTTCCTGGTCTGATGCCTGGACCATCATAACATTTGTTGTAGAGAAACAGCAGTTCTTCTCCAAGCTCCTCCAGGAGGTCAGAGTTCTTCACCTATCTAAGGATAAACTCAGTCCCCCTACAGATGAAGCTCATTTCAGCTGCTTGTATCCTGATTCATGTTCTTTCTGTCATGACCATAGACAACTACAGGGTGTGACTTTGTGATTCACTGGAGGGACGGGAGCATAACCAAAGAGGGCAAGCATCTGGATTTAGCAGTGGGGTAGATATTGGCGAAAAAGTAAACAGTAACGGTTGATTATGTAAAACAGGAATAATGATAATATTAATACAATATTAAAATGTATTGTTGGAGAAAATCTCCAACTAAAGTTTAACTGAAAGAACCACACTCGACAGCAGAAGATTTTTAACTGGCGTTCTACTTGCAAGGACCCATTCATGACAGATGCATAAAGCACATGCATGGAACACGTCACAGAAATGAGCATAGAATAGAGTTTGCTGCAGACTTTTATACAGCAGCAGAGTCCAGCGGGTGTTCTCTCACAGCTGCAGTCAATCACACAGACATGATCCGTGGCCGTCGGCAAGTCGGCCTCCAGATGAAGATGAGGATGAACCTTTGATCCAAACTTCTCTGACGTGCTGTATAAGCTATCTAAATGTATAAAATGTATGGGCTGCTGTTTAATACAGTATTTTTTTTACATTATTAGCATACATCTTAGACTTTTTAGCGTATAGTGTTCATTTAGCATACTGTATATCTTAGTGTATATCTTTGATCCTTATATGCTGTTCCTTTTTACACTTTATATTTTTGCTACTTTTGCGGAACTGGGACCTTGAGTACACAATTTTGTTCCACCTCGTCTACCAACGTGTGATCCATTCAACCTTTATTTAGACAGGTTAATCCCATTGAGCCTCGAGGACTCGTTGACAAGAGAGACCTGAATGTGATGGAATGACAGTAAAGATCCTTAAACCTTGAACCTTGAAACTGAAAAAATGCCACAGAGCTGTGTGCACTACAGCTGTACCAACCAAATAGAAAAAAGGAAAATGTATGTCATTTCACAAGTAAGCAGATTTAATCTTATTTACCTCAATGTGAATGTGATTTGACCATAATTGAAGCTAATAATGTAACTGTTTAAAATTAAAATTAGCGTATGAAGCCAAAGTAATTGCTGTTAATTATTGAATTGGATAGTAGATATCAGCTTCTGTGGCATATTGTTATACAGAGGGTAGCATGCTGAATCATGCTACAATTTAGCACAAATTATAAATAATACAATGTGGTATTGCCTTCGATTTATGTAATATTTACACAGTGTAAAACAATATATATTTGACTATTTTCAGGTTTCCAGTACACAAATCTGACCTAGTGAAATGATGGTTAGCCAATATCAGAGACAAGTTTCATCCTTCAACATATCACTGGATATGTAGAGAACATGTTCTGTGCGTCGACTACATAACAGGTAAATAATAAAAAATATATAATTCTAATGTTGTTATGTACCCTTTATATGTAATTTCTGGGTTGTGTTATTGACTGACTTCACATCTAGTTTAGATCATCATTACTTGTAAATTATATTCTTGTATCATCCAGCTGTTTTACATCATTGTTGAATGTAATTAACAATAATTATCAATTGTTTTAATTTATTGTAAAAATTATAATATAAAAACAACAACAACAACAACAATAATAATGTTATTATTATTATTTATTTGTTTATTTATTTATTTTAGGCTTTTCCATTCTTCAGGGGTCACCACAGCGAACTAACTCACACGAAGACTTGACAATTATTTTTACGCCAGATGTCCTTCCTGACACAACCACAGACCACCGAGCTGACACAGACCTCTGTGTGGAGCAGAGAGCTGCTATCTA